AGCTAATCGATTATCAAAAATAGGCACAATCTAATTACAAACATAGTTATCTCATGATGAAGTAAAAAACAAACAATCATAAAATAGGTTATCTCATGATATTAGTACTGCATTGCTCTAATATCACCCTAAATGGTGAACAAAGGCGGTCATAAGCACCAAAGCATAATTTAATTTGCATGTTGATTAGACAGTAATGGTGGTTGCTAGAGGCAGGAGGCAAGGGCTGAAGGGCCGGGGTTGAAGGTTCATGAGATTGGAGTTTCAGGCCAGTTAGATTCGATTATTACAAGTTTGATTCATCAGAGATTTGCGAACAATCAATACTATCGATTGCAAATCTCATTGTAACATATAAAATTTCTTGTTGGTCCCCTTTCTCTATTTTATCATTCATAGACTAAGATTATTTGTTTATTCTCATCTAATATTACCCTAAAATCTTGATTGAGTTGATCACCCATCCTCATTCATCCTCCACTATCAAATTTAAACCCAAATTCAAACTGCAAATTTTGATTCAGTTGATCTCAAGTGTTGCACACACCTAATATGTAATACTCCTAAAAGAGTCTGAAATATGGAATTATCTCTCACATCTAAAGCACATAGTATACTAAATAAAAATTGTTTGAGCTGCAAATAAAGTCTATATTCCTTTGTTTTTTTATGGGGAAAAAAGTCTATAGTCCTTCACTCAGTACTGTCATCAGCCTATTTAGTACTGATCAATTTATAGAACTACTATTCTAATAGTAAACTCTTTTAATACGACAAATAACACATAAATTTAATAGAAAACCCAACTTCTTAAGTAACCATCAATTAGTTCATTAAAATAATAAAACAGAACCAATCTTTTTCATGGACTGCACCAAATCCAAAACAAACAGTTCTTTTAATGATAGTCGCTGTTGAACTCTCTAGTTTCACATATTCAACTCTTTATCATATATTATCCACATAAGATGCCTTATTTTTTTATTTCTGTGGTAAGCAATAATGTTGTCTTGCAACTATGGTATTACACATAAGAAAAATAGAAGTGGCATACTATTTCATCTTATTTGTATATTTAACATCTAAAATTTTCTATTTGCTAAACTACCATGCCATTAATCCAATTCCATGGAGAAAAAGATATGAGGCAATCGCCAATGGCGAGTGAAATACTGGATCCCTAGATGATAAAGAAGAGGAAAGGAAGTCGCGTTAGATCTCTCTAGAGAAAGGTCATCGATGAAACCAGTGTCATTTGCAGTCTTGAAACACATGTTGAAGAAGAGGAGCTCAATAAGTAGCAACAAGATCTTGTTGGTAGAAGTATGTCGATGTCACAAATGGCATTTGTAGATGGAAAATAAAAATATCTATTTTCTTTATTTTAACTTTATATGAAAACAATGACATTAATAGTAGAAGTATACTAATGACACTAATATCATGTACGTTGCTATTGTCAGTGGCAAATCCTAAATGAGAAAAATGTATGATTGCGTTAGATATTTGACAACAAAAATAAAACTTGTCGAATACTCAAGACTTTAATCCTTTAATGCATTATATTGATGTTGTTGGATGGAAACAAATATCACCATTTTCTTTTGTTTTTATGTATACATTAAATTTTTGTCACATGATAAAAAAAAAAATCTGAACTTAGTAAATTTTACTTAAAAAATTTATTGGTCCATCTAATTAAATGTGATATAAACAAAGTTATACATAATTTTTTTCTTAAGGAATGCAATTAATATTTCTCTTTTAGGCTAACACAAGATTCTTAATTAATCATTAGCTTTATTAATGAAGATTTATGGACTTGTTAAAATTTTAAATCCAAATCTTATCTATATTAAATTTATATATTGACATTTATCATAATTTAAAAAAAAAACAAAACTTAAATGTTTTAGAGTGAAAGCACAGGTCTATAATCCAATGGGCAAAAGTTTCTTTCCATGTAATACACTGAAAATAAAAATGAATAAGTAAAAGAAAAAAACATTGTCATCAAATTGTGGTTTAGCATTTCAAAATTTCGAACTTGAAAGGTCAAAAACATTTAACAAAAGGTACGAGAATAGAAGAAAATAGGCATCAATTAGCCTAAATTTAGGTTCATTGATCATATTTTCATTGGAGCAAGTTGAGAAAAAAGAATGAATTCAAAGTCTTTAAATTTATTTTGAAATGAGCATAATACATAAATAATTAGTATCTCACTCATATATATAAGAAAATATCCAATGACTTTAAAGGTTATCCTGATAGGATATTTGACAGAATATCCTAACACAATCTTTTTTTTTTGTAAAGTCTAGAGCTGTAAATAAATGACATAGTATCCTAGCACAATCTTTTTTGATAAATGGGAGAGATTGTGAAACCCCTTAAGTAAAAGAAGCTAAACTCTTAAATATTGAAGTGCCTTTTAGTTAATGGCTAGATTTTTCATAAAAAACTTCGCTATTAAGCGTGCTCATCCAGTAGCAATATTAGAATGAGTGACCTACTATGAAGTTATAGTACCAACAGGACAAAACTGTGAGGTTCTCAGGCTAAAATAGACAAATGAGTTTGGGCTATCACAAATGGTATCAGAGCAATACACTAGCCTGAAGATGTGAACTAAATTTTATAAAATACTAAGTACTAAGCCATGAGAGCAACCTCTTAACCTTTTATGGGACAAAGTGTGCGCTACATGATGGGAGTCACCTCTTAAACTTGCAGGGCCTCCTCTAGAATCCTACCACCTAGTTTATGATCATAGGATAAAGATACTAACGAGGATGTCAATTACTTAAATGAGGGAGATTATGAAACTCCTTAAGTAAATGAAGCTAAAGTCCTTAGTATTGAGGTGCCTTATTGTGTAATGATTGAAATTTTCTTAAGAAACTCCTCAGTTAAGTGCGATCATCTCGTAAAACTTTTGAGATGGGTTACCTATTGGGACGTTACACCAATAGGACAAAAACGGCGAGGGTCTTGGGCCAAAGCAAACAAAATATCAATACTTAAGTGTTTGGGCTGTTATACAAGATATTGTCAAGCATTTTATAAATGGATCAATTTTTGAAGAGGAAAGAACATGTTAATATTGATATTAACAATCTCCTTGTTAACCTTAGGCTTTGAATATTAATATGAGGTTTCGATGTAAATGAGAGGGATAATGTTCGGAGAGCTTATTTGTTGAAGGGACCCCATTAAACCAAAAAAAAAAATCATTTCCATCAAATAATGATTGTAAATGTTACACATAGATTTAACTCAAAATGATTTGAAGAATTTCTAGATTGGTTAGAATATAGTGTACAAAAATATGCTATATTTTGTTATTTTTGCTACTTATTTAAGCCTCAAGAGTAAATTATCTCATGCCAAGGTGGCAGAAACTTGTTCGTTGCTGAAGGATTTAAAAATTAGAATATAAAATAAAAGCTTTTAGACTATATAAGAGTACATAACAGTGTACGCAATAAGACAATACATAAATGTGAGGCTTTAATGAAACATCAAGAGCAGAGTATTCCTGTTTTATGTTTGAGTAAGGATGAGAGAAATAAAAAAGAATATCGTATCATATTGACTGTTGTTGTTGATTATGTTTGATTTATTATCTGTCAATGGCTATCATTCTGGGTGGGCATGAAGAATCATCTAGCTCAAATAATCAAGAAAATTATATAAAACTATTTTAATTTCTTATAAATAAATATTGAAGAAGTCACAAAAGTAACATTTGAAAATACAAGTGCTAAGTTAAAATTGATTGCACCAAATGTACATAAGGAGATTTATAGTTCTATGGCTACTGAGACTTAGCTGCAATTATGAATAATATTGATGATTCATATTTCACTTTTTAGTTGATGAGTCCTCTGATGTGTCCACAAAAGAATAATTTTCTTTTGTTGGAGGTATGTAGACAAGTTGTGCCAAGTAATTTTGAGATTCATTTAGGGTCTGTACAAAAAGATAAAAAAATAACAAATTTTAATCATTATCGAGTTGATTTATTCTACACTATTGTTGATATGCAACTTTAATAATTAAATAACCGCTTCTCAGAATTTAGTACCAAATTACTAATTTGTGTGATATGTCTAAACCCAAGTAATATCTTCTCTACTTATAATAAGTGAAAGTTAATTTTTCTTCCATAATTATTTTTTTATGGTTGATCTTGTGTCTCTCAAATCTCAGTTATCTACTTATATCATTGATATGCATAAAAATGATGAGTTTACATCTTTGACTAGCATTGTTGCTATTGTAGAATAGATTGTAAAGACAAAAATGAATATTATGTATTCCCTATTTTATAGACTTATTATTTTGCCATTGACTTTACTAGTTGCTTTGCTATAATTGAGAGAGCATGTTCTGTAATGAAGATTATTAAGCATCGATTGCATAATAAAATGAATGATGTCTGGCACAATGACTGTGAAGTGCCACATATCGAGAAGTATTTGACACTGTTCCAAATTAAGTTTTTATGTAATATTATCATTAAATACAAAATTTTTAATTAGTTTTTAATTCATAAATTATAATGAAATGCAAGACTTTGCTTAGAATTTTAGCTTATATAAATTTCTTTAACGTTTTGTATTAATTTTTTATATATTGATTTTGCCAACCTTAAAAAATAAGGCTGGATTCGTCTAATCGTAATTTCTACAACATATAAAAAGTTTGTAGTAAAAATTTTACCAGTGCTAACATATACAAAATCTTAATCGGAATAATCACTAAAACTTACACATTTTTGAAAATTTAGGAGAAGAGTGTTACAAAGTTCTAAAATAATAGAATTATTCAATAAAAAAATTACCATCCACAACCTCAAGGGCAAAATACCAACCAAAAAAGTTGCTGACTGCTTAGGTAGGTGGGCTAAGTATTTAATATAGTCCAAGATTGGGTTTTCTTAATAATACAACTACCAGACTTGATCATTGAGAAGAGTTGTTGAGGAAATCGCGATGCCGCCGTCTGCTCTGCTAGGGTTTCATTTCCGCGCCTGTTCTCTCGCTGGTGAGAGTTTCTTCTTCTGATTTCTCTTGCTTTTTTGTATGGCTTCCTCTCGTCTGCGAGATTCGGGTTTTTTTTTTTTGGGGGGGTGCCGATTTGGGTTTCTTTCCCTCTTCTTAGACCTCATTTATTTTCTCCTAGAATTCTTTTTGGTTTAGGATCCATTTTCGGAAAACCTCTCAAATCGGATTTGGCGACGGCTTCTGGTTCGCGATCTTCTGTAGCTCGCATTCTAGTTGAGATGGATGTTACCGTGAAACACCCTGACAAGGTTTGGGTTGGTTCTGTGGAGTCGGGGTATGTGCAGTCTGTTATTTTTGATGATATTCCTAAGTTTTGTGTTCATTGTAACTCTCTAGGCCATTCTAAGGGTTCTTGCACTATCTTACATCCCAATCTTGTTACTTCTAAACCTACGATTGATCTTGGCGGGGTGTCGGTGCCGACTGTTTCTGCTGCTGTGGATGATGTGGTGAACAATAATGTTGTGATTGTGCCGAATGTGGTTGGGTTGAATAATGATGTAGCTGCTCCGTGTGGTGAGCTGTCCCCGAATCCTCATGTTGATTTGACTTTGGAAATCGTCCAGGATGGCAATGTTTTATGTGAGGATGGTTGTATGGGGGTGGCTGAGAATTTGCTCTCTCCTAATGCTCTCCCTTTGTTCCTTCGTCTGACGTTTCTCGGCTGTTGGCTGAGAAGGTTGTTAGTGACAATTTGGCTGAGAATGTTGTTAGTCCAAAAACTAATCTGGTTGTTTGTGAGAAATTGGTTTCTAATCCTAATGGCGTTGATGATGGGCTGCCTGGTGATTCGGCTGTGTTGGGCAATGAGGAGGTTTCAGAGAGTAGAAAGGTGCAATCTGCAGTGGGGGACCAAGTGCTAGGTAATTTTATTAATGTACCTGTTAACCTTTCAGCAGCTAATATTGTAGTGGGATCTAATTCTGGAAAGGAGGTTAGGTCACATAGTGATTGGTTGAATAATTCGTCTGAGGGTGATTCTGATTCCGAGTCCTTTTCAGATCCTGATTTTGATTTTAAAATGGTTCATGATAGATCTATTAAGGCCAGCGTGCGAGGGAAATTGTGGAAGCGAGGTGGTAGAAGAAGATAATCTGTTTATTTTTTGCTTGTTGCTGGTATCTTCATCTGTTGGTTTTTCGTTTGGAGGATTAATTACTGGGCTATGATGTGCTGGGGCTCGCACCTTCGTCGACTCTCCTGTGGCAACCGTTGGAACCCTTCTGGATGGTCCTTGAGGGTTCTCGTGGTGCTGGTAGTCTTGGTGTTACTACTGAGCCCTCTTTTGGTTTGCCTTTATCTCGTTTGTGGGGTATTTTGGTTGTATCTTTTTCCTGTTACTTATTGTTTTTTGCCAAAAAAAAAAAAAAAAAGAGTTGTTGAGGAAATTTTCCTCTTTGAAAGAGATTGTTTTGTAAAGAATAGCCAATTTTAATAATATATTACTTTAGTTGAGTTCTGTTCTTCAACGGTTTAATTTTAAAGCAAAGCCCTACCAAACATTTTTTTTTAAGATTTTAAGTACTTTTTGTTTAATAAATCTCTATTGATTAAATTTAATATGTATTAAATTTTAACATTCAGAAGAGTTACCAGATTAATGAATTTTATTTCCTCACATTAATTTTAAAAGCCAAATAAATATTTTTTTTAATTTTAATCTATTTAATAAGGATCTATCTAGGATAATTTTTTCTTTTTCCTTTTCAAACATTATAATAATTTTATCTGGGTATTATTTTCTTATTATTTTTTAACTGTTTTTTTAAAAAATTATTTGATGAAAAACTACTATTTTATAATCAAAATAATTAAATTACTTTTTCACAATAACTTTATCTTCATTTGTAACATTTTTTTAATTATTTTTTAAAACAACTTTTAGTATTTAATTCAAAAAAAAAATTACTAAATATCATTTAAAAAAAAACAGTAAAAATTTCCAATTGACCTCCAGACCGTTTGGATTTTGCACATAATAATTTCTCCAAACAAAACCTTTAAAACTAATTTTATAAAATACTGAACTCATCGCAAATAGGCTCTCCATCTTGATTTGCATGATTACTAAAACCTACTCGATTACTCGTAAAACTTATGAAGCTAAAAAGTATTACACTTTAAGGAATTATTACAGTTTGATGAAATATGAGATTTTTACTAGTTTTTATTTTCCATATTTTGAGAAAGCTGAGATACTAATAAACCTTTTAGGTTGTTTTAATATTTGGTATCCCCATCACCCCAATGGATCTAAAATGGAATTTAGTGGATCATGGAGAAAAAGGATTCATGTAGCCGACCCCACGTAGTGGGATAAAGACTTGATGTTGTTGTTGTTGTATACTAAAAAACTATTTTAATAAGTAGTAAGAAAGTCACTCAAAACGTAGCCTAAGATTATTAGTTTTTCACCCATCTCCTTACGTAACCATCAATTATTTCATTAAAATAATAAAACAGAAGCAATCTTCTTCATGGACTGCACCAAATCCAAAACAAACAGTTCTTTTATTGATAGTCGCTGTTGAACACTCTAGTTTCACAGATTCAACTCTTTATCATATATTATCCAAGTAAGACGCCTTATTTTTTATTTCTGTGGTAAGCAGCAGTGCTGTCTTGCAACTATGGCATACTATTTTTAGTTATCTTATTTGCCAAACTACCACACCATTAATCCATTCCATGGAGAAAAAGAGATGAGGCAATCGCGAATGGCGAGTGAAATCCTGGATCCCTAGATAACAAAGAAGAGGAAAGGAAGTCGCGTTAGATCTCTCTGTAGAAAGGTCGCCGATGAAACCAGTGTCATTTGCAGTCTTGAAACATATGACGAAGAAGAAGAGTTCAGTAAGTTGCAACGGGATATTGTTGGTAGAAGTATGTCGACGTCACTAATGGCATTTGCAGATGCAAAATAAAAATCTCTATTTTCTTTATTTTAACTTTATATGGAAACAATGACATTAATGGCAGAAGTACACTAACGACACTAATGTCATGTACGCTTCGCAAGTCCTAAATGAGAAAATTTGGAGGTTTGCTTTAGATATTTGACAGTTTTTTACATAAAATTTGTCGAATACTCAAGACATGAATCCTTTAATGCATTATATTGATGCTGTTGGATGGAAATCAAAATATCCATTTTCTTTTCTTTTTACGTATACATTTTTACAGTACTGTACATGATAAAAAAAATTTAAACTTAGTAAATTTTACTTAAAAAAAAATATTAGTCCATCTAATTAAATGTGATATATATAAAGTTATATAAATTTTTTTTTCCTAAGGAATACAATTAACATTTCTCTTTAGGCAAAAACAAGATTCTTAATTAATGATTAGCTTGATTAATAATGACGATTTATGGATTTGTTAAAATTCTAAATTCAAAGCTTATCTATATATATTAAATTTATATGTATATTGACATTTATCATCATAAAACCAAAAAAAACTTCAATGTTTTAGAGGGAAAGCACAAGTCTAGAATCCAATGGGTAGAGTTTCTTTCCTTGTAATACACTTAAAAAAAAAAAGTAAAAGAAAAAAAACTTTGTCACCAAATTGTGGTTTAGCATTTCAAAATTTCCAACTTGAAAGGTCAAAAACATTTAAGAAAAGGTACGAAAAGAAGAAAATATGTATTAGTTAGCCTAAATTTAGGTTCATTGATCAAATTTTCATCGGAACAAGTTGAGAAAAAAGAATGAATTTCAAAGTCTTTAAATTTATTTTGAAATGAGTATAATTCATATATAATTAGTATCTCACTCATTTATATAAGAAAATATCCAATGACTTTAAAGCTTATCCTGACTGGATATATATTTGATAGAATATCCTAACACAATATTTTTTTGGTAAAGTCTAGGGCTTTCAATAAATGACAACCCGTTTTAGATTTGAAAAATTCAGGTTCAATTTCACCTGTTTAGTTTCTTTTGCTTATTGGAATGCTCTTTTTTTTATCAGTTAACATAAACTTGATAGTTGACAAGTTTAATTTTTTTTAGTCAAAATGGATTATTTGGACAAGTTTAGGTCATCCACGTTGTTATTGAGTTAGATTTGAGCCCATATGTTTGACTTGTTTATTAAATGATTAGGGTTAGTTCAATTATATTCAAATTGGGTTTATTTTGGGTCAAACCCAAACTCTACTCGTTATCCTAACATCTCTAGTCTAATATTAAGGGTTATCATTCTGTGAGCATGATGAATCATCTAGCTCAAATAATCAAGGGAATTATATAAAATTATTTCAATTTCTTGCAAATCATTACGAATGAGTTAGAAAAGTAACATTTAAAAATGTAGGTGCTAAGTTAAAATTAATTGAACCAAAAGTACAAAAGGAGATTTATAGTTTTATGGTTGGTGAGACATTGACTACAATTATGAATGATATTGTTGATTCTTACTTCATTTTTTTAGTTGACAAGTTTAGTGATGTGTCCACAAAAGAACAATTACCTATTGCAGTGAGATATATAGACAAGTTAGGCCAAGTAATTGAGTGGTTCATCATGAGTCTGTGCGAAAAGGTAAGGAAATAACAAATTTTTATTATTACTGAGTTGATTTATTTTACATTGTTGCTGATATGCAACTTCAAAAATTGAACAACCGCTTCTCTGAAACTAGTATTGAGTTACTTTTTTTATGACATGTCTAAAAGTAAGTAATATATTCTTTCCTTTTAAAAAAGGAAAGTTAATTCGTCATACAGAATTATTTTTTCTATAATTGATCTTGTGTTTCTTGAATCTCAGCTATCTACTTATATCATTGATATACATACAAGTGACTAGTTTATATCTTTCACTAGCATTGTTGCTCTTGTAAAACATATTGTAATTGCGAAAAAGAATATTATGTATCACCTGATTTATAGAGTTATTATTTTGACATTGACTTTATGAGTTGCTATTGTTATAATGGAGAAAACATTTTCTGTAATAAAGATTATTAAGCTTCGATTATGTAACAAAATAAAGTTTGTAATTATTTTTCATTAATTATAATGAAATGCAAGACTTTGTTTAGAATTTTAGCTTATATATTGCTTTAGTTTTTGATATTTAATTTTTTTATATAATGAATTTGCCCATCCTAAAAAATAAAACTGGATCCACTCCATCTTCTCTTACTGTTTCTCTCAATTTCTTGATTTTGAAAACTCAGGAGAAGAGTGTTACAAATTTCTAAAATAATAGAATCATTCAAATAAAAAAATTAGTATTGTTTGCCTTAGCTCCGCAACCATCCACAACCTCAATGGCAAAATACCAACCAAAAAAGTTGCTGACTGCTTAGGTAGGTGGGCTAAGTATTTAATATAGTCCAAGATTGGGTTTTCTTAATAATACAACTACCATATTTGATCATTGAGAAGAGTTGTTGAGGAAATTTTCCTCTTTGAAAGAGATTGTTTTGTAAAGAATAGCAACATCTAATATATTATATATTACTTTAGTTGAGTTCTGTTCTTCAACGGGTTTATTTTTAAAGCAAAGCCCTACCAAACATTTTTTTTTAAAAGATTTTAAGTACTTTTAGTTTAATAAATCTATTGATTAAATTTAATATTTATTAAATTTTAACATTCAGAAGAGTTACCAGATTAATGAATTTTATTTCCTCACATTAATTTTTAAAAGCCAAATAAATATTTTTTTAATTTTAATCTATTTACTAAGGATCTATCTAGGATAATTTTCTCTGTTTCCTTTTCAAACATTATAATAATATCATCTGGGTATTATTTTCTTATTATTTTTTGACTCTTTTTTTTTTTAAAATTTATTTGATGAAAAACTACTATTTTATAATCAAAATAATTAAATTACTTTTTCACAATAACTTTAGCTTCATTTGTAACATTTTTTTTAATTATTTTTTAAAACAACTTTTTAGTATTTAATTCAAAAAAAAATAAAAATTGTACTAAATATTATTAAAAAAAAGCAGTAAAAAAACTCTCTCAAACGAAAAAAAAAATTATTCTGTGCGGATAGCGGACAATGTCCAAAGGCCAACTAGAACATGACATGTCACTTTTTTGCTATGTACTAGGTAACATGACTCATTCTAATTGACCTCTGGACCGTCTGGATTCCGCACATAATAATTTCTCCAAACAAAACCTTTAAAACTAATTTTATAAAATACTGAACTCATTGCAAATAGGCTCTCCATCTTGATTTGCATGATTACTAAAACCTACTCGATTACTCGTAAAACTTATGAAGCAAAAAACTATTACGCTTTAAGGAATTATTGGGGCTTTTTTTAATGTAGATATTGTTAACATCAACAGTAACAGCCGCCTTTGAACTTCTTGTGGATATTAAGTGACGGTGGATTACTATATCATTGATCTATAACCACTCCATTTAAAAATGTTTTGTTCTCTTGCATTAAATTTAATTAGAAGACTTCGAAATGAATGTAAAAAAAGGAAGCATGAAAAAGTACAAAGTTTGAAATTTTTTTATTAAATGTTTCACAAAATTAAAATTTTTATAATAAAAAGCTGGTTAAAAAAATAAAAAACAGTTTCAAATGAAACCATAGACTAGAGAAAATGCACTATTTTAGAATCAAAATAATGTCTGTAGAAAATTTGATCTAATATTTTAAGGTTATTTCTGATTCAAGACTAATCGGAGACTTCAATAAAAAAAGTAATTTTCAAAAACAAAATAATGTTTATGCATAAAAGAATTAATCATGCATTTTAAAGGCTTCTTTAAGGCATCTTTTTGACTCTTTTACTTTCCAAACTCAAGCACATTTTTATTTGATTACTACCTCTTATCTTTTCTCTATTCTTTATAAATTTTTATGATTTTACAACCATATCTATTAGTTTACTTTATTATCTAATTTCAATTTTTTTGAATATATATATATATTTAAGAAGTTATTTTCCACAACTTCATCTAGCTCACCTTAGTTTATTGGTTAGGAGCTTTGAATATCAATCAAGAGATATTGAGTTCGAATCTTACGTATGTGATGTTTTTGTAAGTTTGTCTTAATTAGCCTAAATTTCCCCAAAAGAACTTCATTAAATTTTTTATAAAAATCTACATCTATTTCAAATAGAACCTAAATGTATAACAATTTTGATTTTTGAATTCTTTTAGACGGTTGTAAGGCCAAATAACATTGAAAATAACATTATAAGAAAAGGTTATTTCAACATAAATACAAAAAGATTAAAGCTTCATTTGTTACGGTTTTCTTTCTGCTTTTTAAAGCAGTTTTTTAGTATAAAAATTTTAAATTTTACACTAAAAAGGTGCTTTAAGAAATAAGAAAGTCATCCAAAACGAAGCCGAACTTGCTTGGCCTGAAAGCATAAGGCATACAAGAAATCTGTCCCAGATAATCCAAATATAAATATTAAACCACCACATTCTATGATATTTGACATGCTTTCATGCTAATACATTTGGTTTATTGTTCAATACCATGGTTTATAAAACTACAAGTGTTTTGTCTAACAACAATAAAAAAATGCAACAGTTCATGAGGAGAGGACAGAATTGTGTTGAAGCCAAAAAATCATAGAGCCAGGCCTCCATTTGACCCAATCAAATCCTGCCTCTAGAACATTCCGAGAGAGTCAAATTCTGCTAGTTCATGAGCATCAAGAGTTGGTAGAAAATCGAATGAAAAGCTGAGTCCAGTAGCAGGAAAGCAACAAAGCATTGTATGAAATGAAACGCATCATCAAACAGATTGGAAAGCTTCATGGGTAGGCCTGCAGGCCACTAACATAAGTGGCCGAAACACTGGAAGGTATATTTTTCTTGAATTCTTCCCATGAAGAAGATGGTAATACTATGAAGTCAGCATACTTTCCTGGTGAGAGGCTACCTAATTCGTTGTCGAGAAAGCAGGCGTAAGCAGCTCCAATGGTGTACCTGCAATTTGGATGCAATTTATGAGTATTTTTAAATAAGTAACGTCTGCCATCTGCTCTGATCTAGCTGCTCGAAAGCTTAATTTATAGCCCTAACCAATTGGGTAATTGAACGACTAATGTCAGTCCTATCTTCATATTTGCAACAGAGAAAGAAATGGGGCCAAAAGAGAACGAGGTGAGCCGAGAGAGAGAGAGAGAGAGAGAGAGAGAGAGACAAGTGCAAGTAAAAAGAGAAACGAAGTGAGAGTGATCAAGGAAGTAGAAAGAAATGAGAGGAAATAGAGGAGCAGGTGAGCCACAAGATTGACGAGCTGCATACAACTAAGCAGAGCACGATAAACCAACAAAATCAAGTCAAGTTTGAGCGAGGAGTATTTTTCTATTTTCTCAAAATTTTAGAATGAAACTTTAAAATTCTAATTTAGCGAAAAAAGATCCTAAGATATAGTTGCTATATTTCCAGGAAGAATCTTATTAGAATAATTGTGCATATATTAAAAGAGATGAAGAAAGTCATTCCAGTCATCTACATGCAGTATTGCAAATACTTAACGAAGAAAAAGTTATATGCCAAGTCTTCAAAATGTGAGTTCTGGTTGAAAATTGTTAATTTCTTTGGTCATGTGATTAGCGGTGAAGACATTTCTATTGATCAAAATAAAATCCAAGCTATTGCAAAATGACCAAGGACCACTATAGTTTCAGAAGTGAGGAGTTTTCTGAGTCATGCTGATTATTACAGGAGGTTCGTGGAAGGATTTTCTCAGATTGCAATGTCATTATCCAAATTAACTCAAAATGCAATAAACTTTGAATGATAAAATCAGTATGAAGGAGCTTTCTAGAAGTTAAAAAAATTGTATAATGACTGCTAACATATTAAAAATTCCTTCAGGTATAGAAGAATTTTAGATTTTCTGCAATGCTTTGATAAGAGGACTTGGATGTGCATGATACAACATGAGATAGTGGTAGTATATGCCTCAAGGCAATTAAAAATGTATGAAAGTAATTATCTAATCCATGATTTAAAATTAGCAGCTATGATATTTGCACTTAAAATCTAAAGGCATTATTTATATGAAGTTAGATGTGAGGTCTTCATAGATCATAAAAGTCTTAAATATATTTTTAATAAGAAAGAGTTTAATTTAAGGCGAAGACGATGATTGGAGCTCATTAAAGATTATAACTTAGATATACAATATCATCTTGAAAAAGCAAATGTAGTTGCAGATGCATTAAGTAGAAATACTTTTCAAATGTGCAAATTGGTTGATTACCAAGCATGAGTAAATAATTAGAGATATGGAAAGACTAAAAATTTTAGTGGTCAATCAACAACATACTAAAGTTAAGCTATTAAATTAGCCGGTGATTCAATCCATCTTGCAAGATAGAATATATAATTCATTGTCTCAAGATGTAAATTTTAAAGAAATCATAAAGAAAGTGCAGGCAAGATAGTTGGACGATTTGTATTTGATGATGAAGGATTGTTGAGATATAAAGACATAATTTATATTCAAAATGTTAATAATTTTATGGTAGAAATATTTTAGGAAGCTCACCTCTTAGGTTATGAAATTCATCCAGGTAGTACAAAAATGCATCAAGAACTAAAAAGATTATTTTGGTGGCCATTATTAAAAAGAAACGTTACAGAATTTGTAGCAAAATGTATTCCCTTTCAACTGATTAAAGCTGAACATCAAAAGTCAGGTGATCAATTGCAACCTTTACCAAAACCTGAGTGGAAATTGGATGAAATTGCAATGGATATTGTTATTAGATTACAAAAGTCAAGGTAGAGTAGGGATGCTATTTGGGTTGTAGTGGATCAATTAGCAAAATATGCTCATTTCTTATCAATCAAGCAAACATATTAAGTGAAAAAATTAGCAAAGATATATGTTAATGAAATTGTGAGATTGCATGAAATTCCAAAATCTATAGTCTATTACATGCTCATAAAGGACTCCTCATCCTTGCAGTATATCTACTACTACTATATGCAGGTGAGCAACATTCATCATAGTCCTTTTGCATTATGCTTGTAGACAATGGGTCTTTTGCAGCAGCTCGTAGGTGCTCGCATTTGCTACGTGTCATCCGCCTTTGCTTATAGAGGCAATGAAGATGGTGTATTTGGTTGTAGGTTGACGTTGATCGTTTGATGAGCTACATTCACTATTAATTTCCCATGTATATTGATTAGCAAGTTATTGCATCTACTTGTATATCGAATTTATGTTCATAGGAGACTTACTCATGCATCATGTTCATGCGAAGGAGTTATCATACTCATCTCA